CTCTCATCTAAAAAAAGAACGAGTGACGCAAAAAAAAAAAAAAAAAAAAATTCTATACAACTCTTTTTTTCATTCGAAGTTTAATTACGCGAAACTTTTCTTTCTCTTTTGTTCTACTCTTTTATAAAAAGAGCGAGCCATGAAATAAAAACTTTTCTTTCTTAACATAAATTTATACTTAGAGATAAAATTAAATTAGAAATAAAGCAACAATGAACAAAGCAACTAACAGATTAATCTGGGACTATTTTGATATTAATGAAAATAATCAACATAAACAACATTACCAACAGCATTTATCAAACAAACAACACAATATCGCATAATTTTAGGGGCTTTTTTTTTTTATTGCTTAGTCGTTCTAAATAATAAGTAAATTTAGTTCAAATATTTCAATATTTACAGTTGCAATATAATAAAGAAATGATGTTTTAATGTTGAACTTTTTATTTAATTATTTATTTTTTACCTACGTATGTTATAAAAACTTTTAAACCCACGTCATTAAAATAATATGTTTTAAATATATTTCAAAATGACTATTCAAACTAATTTTTTTCGCTTGACTTCCCGAACTTCATGCAAAGCAAATTGAGACAAAATATTATCTAACCAAATAAAAATGCTTTTACTAATATTTTACTGGTAATTAATGTAAAATATTTTTTTATCAGAGTCTTGATTGAAATAATAAATATTCATAATTTATAAACATTAAATATATAGCGCAATAACAATTTATAGCAACAAACCAGCATAAAATATTTAAGGTTTTTGATATCTTTTTGAATATTAAAAGTAGGAAAAAAAAACTAAACAAATAACCAAAAAAACTTCGACTAAAAATAAATAAAAATATTTCCAGAGTTTCTTTTGTTAAAAGTCTACCTTGACGTCAAATACTAAAACTTTTATGAATTAAACACGCTTCAAAGGAATTGCCAAAGTCAGAGGATTCTAATATAACTGACATTACCTTACAAGGATATAACATTGAGCATTGTCCAACAGAGTCAAAAAAAGGTGGTGCGCTTCTTTACCTAAATTCAAATCTTAATTACATAGTTTGTAGTGATCTCCAAATTTCTAGAGCCTATTTTTGTTGAAGTTATATATCCACTTAAAAGTAATACCATTTTTGGATGTATATATCGGCATCCCTCTTTAAACATCACTGAATTTTTATCTACCCTATTTTATTTTAATCCTCTCCTTGAAAAGTTAAGTCATGAAGCAAAAAATATTGTACTAATGGGCGATTTCAACATAGATTTATTTAATTATAGAGAATCACAAGTCATTTCTGATTATTTTGAATCTTTGTGCTATCATTCCTTATTTCCAACCATAATTCTTCCAACACGTGTAACTGCAAAAACTAAAACCCTTATTGATAACATCTTCATGAATTCATTTTCTACTGATATAGTCTGTGATAATCTTACAATTTCAATCTTTGACCACATGGCACAATTTGTCTGTATTCCTAATAACCCACCAAAAAAAAAGTAAAAATGTTTAAAAGAAGCTACAAAAAATTTGGTTCTGATTCTTTTATGCAAGAAATTTCTGATATTAACTGGGAACTTCTCATAAAAGAAGTTGATAACATAAATGAATCTATAAATTTTTTCCTTAAAACATTTGAAAAAATATTCGACCGATATGCTCCATACAAAGAATTAACAAAAAAGCAAATTAAACTTCAATTTAAACCCTGGATAACTTCTGGTATTCTTAAATCTATTTCTAATAAAAACATACTTTATATAAAATTTACTAAATCAAAAAATGTGAATACCAAAAATATGTTGTTTACTAAATTTAAGTTATATAGAAATAAAATTAGCAATTTGTTAAGATATTCTAAAAAATTGTACTATGCATCTTTTTTCAATAACAACATCAATAATGTAAAGAATACCTGGAAAGGAATTAAGGAAATTATAAACATCAAACCTTCTACTTGTACTAAATCTTTTAATCTCAAAATCAATAAAAATGTCATCTCAAATCATACCAGTGTTGCTAATATATTTAATAATTATTTTGTGACTATTCAAGACAAACTACTTAAATATACTGTTCCCTCTAAATGTGTTTTTGGCAACTTCCTTAAAATACCTAGTACTAATTCTTTTTTCATTGATCCCATGACTGAAAATGAGGTGGCGAATCTCATAAAAGGTACTCTTAAAAATAATAAAAGCCTTGGTTCTAATAGTCTGCCAACATTTCTACTAAAGCTGGTATCTCACATAATCTCCAAACCTCTATGTACTATGATGAATAATTCTTTCAAAAATGGCATTTTTCCAGAAGCTTTTAAGGTAGCCAAAGTAATTCCTATACACTAAATGGGTTCTTATCTAGACTACTCCAATTATCGACCTATTTCACTTCTTTCTAACTTAAGTAAACTGTTTGAAAAAGCAATGTTCCAAAGACTCAACCATTTTTTGGAAAAACATAAATTTATTTACAAATAAATTTATGTTTTTTGCAACAATTACTCAACAACTCATTCGTTAATAGAAAATAAAGAGAAAATTAGACAAGCGATAGATAATAAACACTTTGCGTGTGGAGTGTTTATTGACATAAGAAAAGCATTTAATACAGTTGAGCACACAATCCTCCTAGAAAAACTGAAACACTATGGTATAAGAGGTATTCCTTTTCTCTGGTTTTCCTCTTATCTTTGTAATAGAACACAATTTGTTTCAATTAATGGTATCAACTCAGAACTAGGTAAACTTTTCAATGGTGTTCCGCAAGGCTCGGTTTTAGGTCCATTACTTTTTTTTATTTTATCAATGATTTAAATGTTTCTCTTAAATTTTCTACTGCTTATCACTTTGCCAATGACACCAACTTACTCCTAATAACCAAATCACTTAAAAAACTTAACAAAAATATGAATCACAATCTAACTAATGTTGTTCAATGGCTCCGCTCCAATAAATTGTCTCTTAACTCTAAAAGAACGAAAATTATTATATTCAAATCTGTTCAAACAAAAATAAATAAGCAATTAAATTTCAGATTAAGTGGGCAGAAGATAAATCCAGTTAACTCTATTAAATATCTTGGAATCAAAATAGACTCTAATTTATCTTTTGCATCGCATCTTCAAGACTTATTTTTTTACATAATAAACTTGTTAAAAAATAAAAAATAAATTGAAAAAAAAATAGCAATTAGTTTTTTCGCTTTCCTGTGCATTGATAAAAACAGTAAAGCTTAGCGAAAACATTTGAAAACAATTTTTAACTTAGTCCATATTTCTAATGCAAATAAAGTATTTTCTTAATATACTGACTGGTAAAAGTCACCAACAAGTTGTGACACCAAAAAATACTTTTACTCATTATATTCTTATCTACTTTTTTCCTCAACTTGTATCAATTTTGGTAGTGGAAAGTAACAAATGTCTTAAAAAAAGAAAGCAAAAAAAGTTTTTTTTGAAAGTAACAAATGTCTTAAAAAAAGAAAGCAAAAAAATATTTTTTTGACAATTTTTATTTTTTAATTTTCAATTTTTTTTAGTTTTTTTTTATTTAGATTTTCTTTTCCTTATAGTGGTTGTTTCCTTTCTTCAAGTATTGCTGTTTTACTCTCTGTTATTTTTTATAACTTTTTTTTTTGTTGCAAGTTTTTAAAATGCTTACTATATAAAAACGTGGTCAAGTTGTCTAAAAAAATTAGTTTAAACGTGGACAAACAAAGCATGCAACCGCACACACTTCCAGGGAAGGCTTGCATAATTAAAAGTCTTTTTTATTCAGCACATTTTTGATATGTATAAAGTCGTAGTTAAATCGTATTTGTATGCTCATGTAAAAATGTCCAATAGCGCGTCATCATGACCAACGTATACCTACTGAAATAGGTAGAATATTAGAAAAGTGTATATACATAGACTGAAATAGGTAGAACATGCAAGGAGTGGCGCTACATCGACTCAGGGTTTTGGCTAAGGCATGTAATGTTTTATTGAAAAAACTTCTGGTCTTGTTTTTTAATTTTTTATTATGTCAACCAATTATTAAAAAACTTTCCTTTAACCTATACAGAATATATATATATATATATATATATATATATATATATATATATATATATATATATATATATATATATATATATATATATATATATATATATATATATATATATATATATATATATATATATATATATATATATATATATATATATATATATATATATATATGGGGTGTACATTTGAACTTTTGGTTGGTCACCAGAAAGGCAACTGAACGTAACCAGTTTTTAATTTTGGTCACCTACCAACTTTTTGAGTTGGCTATTTTTTATAAAAATTGTTGCATTCAGCGGATTTATCACATCATCTAGTCATTTTTTATTAAAGGTTGGGTTTATTTATTATTTCCAATAACTTACATCTTTAGAAAAATATTATGTTAGATAGGATAAAATCTACAACAACTAATTATGAAACCATTGTTTTTATATAGATTGTAGTAGACAGTCAAAATACTTATTATTAATACTAAGATATTGTGATATTTTTTCTAACTCTATTTAATTTTTTTTGAGAAGTTAGCACTAAATATTAACAGTATTTAATACCATAGTCAGATATCAGCATTTTTGCATAATTTTTCAAGATCCAACATGAGTGCCAATTTTTCTTAACGATTTTACTTCTAGTTTTTATGATTTTGTTTTGATTTATATAATTACAAATGTTTATCAAATTTATTTGTTATTCAAAAAATTGCATAGTTTGTTTCACTTCTTTGATATCTTTGGTAAAATTTACCATAAAATTTTTATTTTTCATTTTTTGTTTGTTCATGAATAGTTTTTCTTTTTTTTTTAGTTAATTTTATTTTGCTAAAAGTTGCAAAGTATTTTAAATAGAGAAACAGCAATTTACATTGAAAATATAAGAATTCTTTAAAACTTTTGAAAAAAGTTTTTTAATAATCTTTATGATTAATTTTATTTAGATGTGCCTCCACCTCCATCAAAATATTCATACAATGATCTTGGTATAAGTCTTTGTGTTGATTATAATTCAGATGAAGAAGATGACAATTGGATGGTCGATGATTATCATGAAGAAAGTTTAGCAGATCATAACGTTGATAATAAGTCAATAAAGTTATTATTTTACTTTTTCTTGTTTTCTTTGTTATTAAATATAGATCTTAAATTATATATTATGGTACATTTTTAGACATGTTTGTGTATTTTATAACACCACATTTACAACACTGCCATCACACTTAACACTTCTATGACACCACCAGTGCTGTACCAATTTTGAATTAATAAATTTATTTAAAGTTATTTTTTTAGATTTATTAAATATATATATATATATATATTATATATATATATATATATATATATATATATATATATATATATATATATATATATATATATCAACCCTCGGAATTAGGAAAATTGAGGTCAGCAATAGTTTGCCAACCTCAAGAGGTCGGCATCAGGTTGGCAAATACAAAGGTCTTACCATAAAACATCGAAACGAGGTCGGCAAAAGGGAATTTTTTTTGCCGACCACACACACGTTTAGGTTTGCAATGCGGAATGTCGACCCTAATTCCGAGGGTTGATATATATATATATGTGTGTGTATATATATATATATATATATATATATATATATATATATATATATATATATATATATATATATATATATATATATATATGTATATATATATATATATATATATATATATATATATATATATATATATATATATATATATATATATATATATATATATATATATATATATATATATATATTGGTCTTCAGAATAAAATTCTGAGGCTGTTTATATGAATTAGGCTAGCCTAGTTAGCTGGGCTGGCTCATTTAAATGAGATCTTGCCATGTTTATTATTTACCTATAAAAGTTAAACTCAGTTAATCATACAAACAGGTTTGTCCGATTAACTGAGATCTTGTATGATTTCTGTGGGATCCCACTTAATTGAGAAAATATTTTCCATATAAACACGCACAATTGTGTAAGCCTTGCTCACAAATGCTTATAAATGCTGATTATAAAAGTTCATAATGCTGATTATAAATTCATATCAGCTCAAAAACTGATTATAAAAGCTCATATGTTCATAGAAGCTGATTCTATAAAATGAATCACTTATCTAGTTAAAAGCATTTCCAATTATTTTTAAAACAAGCAACTATTTAAAAATAAAAATGTTTAATTCAAATTTAAATCTAAGTTCCAATGTAAAAATAAATTTTTTTGTTTTTATTTTTTTAGTTTAGCCTAATTCATATAAACACTGAGGTAGAAGCATTAAACATTAGTTTGATTCATATAAACACTGAGGTAAAAACATTAAACAATAGTTTGATTCATATAAACACTGAGTTAGAAACATTAAACATTAGTTTGATTCATATAAACACTGAGGTAGAAACATTAAACAAGAGGCTGTACAAGAGCACTTTATATTTTTATCATATTTAAGCTGATCATTGTAATATAGCTTGAAACATTTGTCTATGGCAGACACCAGACATTTATGATGTCTGCAATGTTACTTGTCCTGAAAAGGCAACTATTTACAAAATAAGTCTAATAGATGTTCAACATAAATTTTAATATATATAATTATAAGTAGTGCATCCAATACCAATAGTAATATATAACAGCCAAAATTGATCACCGATTACTTTTAAAATCAACACAACAATTCATTGCCTGCGGTTTTTTCTATATTGAATGCTATTGATGGAATGGTTTTTAGTGTGTTTGTCACATCAGCAGAACTGAGAACATCACTAATGTTCATGATAAATAAACTTGGAGACACAGATTTAGCTGTTAAGTTGAAAGCTATGTTGGTGTGACGGTTCAATGAGCAAAATATAATGTTTTCCAGCTTACTGGACAATCTGCATAAGGGCCATCATCAATACATGAATTTAGATCCAGCTCTATCTTTTGAGCACCCTAGCAATTCAGCAATTGTGAGTAGCATTGCTTGACTGAATGATTGGCTCAACCAACGAGCATTCAATCCGCTCTCTTCCACCAGTAATTCTTCTTATAGCGATTCTGTTTGACAACACTACAAACTTGTAATTAAAAGAAAAACTTAATATGGCTGTTTCGGATAACAAGAAATGTAACAATAAAGCAAGATTGAGCGTTTCAAATATTTTGTTAATAATTTCGAGTTTTTCTATTAATCTAATAATTTAAAAATCATACGCAATGAGATGACAGTTTTTGAAGAAGGAGGAACTTGTAGCATATATAGCAAAATTCTTACGAATATTTGAAATCATTGAAAACTGCAAAGTCAACAAATGTTTAATCAGAGCCTGAATTATCAGCATGTGGCAAAATTACGATCATCTCTTTAGAATACTTTGAATGCCCTATTTTTCTTACAAAGGAGAAAAAAGCCAAAGATGAAAAAGTCTGTAGTTTTGATACAAAATAAAAAATTTATTGAACTTATTGAATCAAATTTTTATTATTTACTTGAGATTGTATTTATTTTATTATAGATTAGAAAAAAATATATATAATTCCCAAATTATACTGATATTAGCGGTATTAAAATTATTCAGTACTAAAATGCTGGTATGGAAAAATGATATCAGTATTGGACGCACTAAAAATAAGTTTATTATAAAATGTGTAATTTAATAACAATAAAATTTTGCCAAACTTAAATGAGATAATAAAAAAAAAGTTAAATATAAAGTGTATAAAGGCAAGTATAAAGGGAAATGTAATATATAATAAAAATTAAAGTGAAAGTGTATGAAAAAGTCAACAACTTATATACTTTTACCGGTCCTAATAATAAAAAAAATTTTAATGTAATTTTTAAATACATTTTTTTTTTTTTTGTTCTTTTTATTACATGTAAAATAAGCATTTCGTTACAATATTTCAATACAAATATATAATAATAAATTTATATATAAATATAATGGTCGTTATTAGAAAATAAAAGAACACAGGGACTCGTAGAAGACCATACGGTCTTGTCGTCGAGTACCGCTAAGAAATGTTCATGTTAAAATTTAAAAGATAATTACAAGATTAAAAAATAAAAATAAGTTAATGAAAGTAAGAAACTTAAAATACTTCATAATAAATACAAGATGCGTTATATCTATTATATATGTAAATTATAGTTGTTAATGATACACATATACTTTTTATAAGTTCATGTTTAAATAAATGGTAAAAATAAAGATCACAAAAAATATCAGAAGTATATTGTTAAATCATCGATTGTAAAAATGAGTTCTTTAAGCTTTTGTTTAAAAGAAAATTAGTTACTTTGATTAATAAAATCCGAAGTAAAATTTTTTAAAACTATTTTATTCCATAAGAATGGTCCGCAATAATCAATACAAAATTTAAAAAGATTTGTTTGAAAAATGGGCTGCTTAATAAAATTATTATTGCGTAAAATGTATTTATTTTTATCTTTTGATGAATACAAATTATGGAAAGAAATTGAGGATGAATTGGTTTTACATTTAAACATAAAACAAAGAATAATAAAAATAATTATCTCATATATAAACTTTCATTTCAAATAAAAGAGGCTTGGCATGAGTATAACGGTCTTTAAAATATAAGACGTGCTACATGCTTCTGCTGACAATAAAGAGGTTTAAGTTTGTTTTTATTTGCACTACCCCAAGCAATGTTTGCAAAGTTTATGTGGCAATGAATAAATGAGTGATATAATTGTACTACAGTTTTGTTTATTTAAGACATTTCTCGCTTTTTACAATATTCCTATACTTTTTGAAATTTTACTTGATAAGTTTTTAATGTGATTTTTCCATGTAAGATTTTCATCTATACAAACAATTAGAAAGTTGGTTACTGTTACTTGTTTAATTTGTATATTGTCAATAACAAGTGGAGGCATGTTAATTGGCAGTTTATGTTTTTTGGTAAGAGGATGGAAAAGAATCCATTTAGTTTTATCAATGTTAAGGGATAGTTTGTTTGTCCAACCAGTCAGATATTTTGATTAACTCGATGTTCACGTTATGAAATAAAGTAGGAATGCTTTTGTGAGACATAAATAAAATTCATATACACAGTCATGGACAAAAAGGTGTGCGATTGCACTTGATTCCTGACCACACATATAACTATTTTTTTAAAAAGCTTGACCACAACTTTTTTGACCACAACTTTTTTTCAACTATCAAAAGTATTATATAATAGTGAGTAAATTATAATAAATAGTATTCTATATGTGAGCACATTATTTGTACACAAGTGCAAATAATAAGTCCAAAGTAAAAATATTATAATGTGATTAAAATTTAAATAAATTTAATTTACACACTTAAAAGTTTCAGGTCGGTGTAAGTTTTGGGTTCAAATATTTTTATATGAACTTTTATTTAGAAAGTTATTAATTTTTGAAGTAGTTTTATGTATTTTAACTATTTTTTATTTTTATTAATAATCATAAAAACTCGTTTTTTACTTTTTTGTCAGAGTTTATTAGAATAAGCAGTAGTCTTATTTTTTTTTTTAAGAAACCCATGCATTTAAAAAAATATTAATTTATTTTTGAGGTTGTTTTATGTGTTTCAACTGTTTTTTATTATTTTTTTATTTTTATTAACAATCATAAAAAATTATTTTCTGCTTTTTTGTCAAAGTTTTTTGGAATAAACAGTAGTCATTTATTATTTTTTTTTCTTAAGAAAAGAACCCATGCATTTAAAAAAGTAAAAGCGGTAAGGGTTAGGACTAGGAAATTCAATGCCCAATGTAATCATAGTTGCAGTTAAGTTTATAGACATCGATCAACTTATAATAAGGGTTATAAATAGCTGATTTTAATTGCATCGAAATATTTAAACTGGACTTTAACAAAAATGGATGAGCTGAAATTGTAAAAATAATCTGTGGCTAGCATTGCCACAAATTATAGTAAAAACAAAAGCAGCAGCAATAATTTTAGTTTATTAATCCAAACTAATATTTTTTTGCAAAAAACACATAAAACTTTAATTCTAGTGTGGCTTGCGGTCAAATGCTGTTTTATAATAATAATTAAATAGGACTTAATACGCTGATATAAGTTTTATACTTTGGTGAAAAATAAACCAAAAGTATGTTTTCAATTTACTTGGTTGATGATTTTTAAAGCCTGTTTACACTGAAAGTTTTTGTTTTTATCAGTGACTGAAATAATTATTTTCTAATTTTTAAGGCTGATTTTCACTGATTTTTTCTGTTTGTTTGTTTATAACAATTAAAAATTAATAAACGGTGGTGGTGGTGTGTGGGGGTGGGGTGATTAATATGCTTTGGTTGGGAGATTTATTTTGATAAAAAATTATTTTTTTTATTTCTCTTTATTTTCTTAAAAAAGTTGTTGGATTTTAACCACTCTGCACACTTTAATGAACTAAAAATTCTTAATCAAAAACCTTAATCTTTCATTTTATTTTATTCCAATCTTAATCAATGTTCAATGTTCAATCGATTCTTCCTTCCTTCATCTTCTAGAGACTCTTCCAGAAAAATAATAAAAAAAACAAACAAACACAATTTTTACTGAATATAATCTGCCTAAATCCAAACCCTCAGTTCATGTATGTAAATTTTTTTATAGTTATAATTATTTTTTATATTTATAATTTCTATAATAATTTCAGAAATGAATTGGTTTCATCTTTCAGTGACAGTGATGATGTTGCTTGTCGCGAAACTAACACTTATAGCCAGTAAGTTATATTACTTTTATTTATTTTTGTATCATTTTTTAAAATTGTTTATTACTTTGAGTTTTACATATTACATTTACATAATAATAGTCGTGCTAGGTATGTACATATTAATAGTGCTAGGTATGTACAAGCCAGTCATTTGTCAAAGCTAAAGCTTCAGCCAAAGCCAAAAGTCCTTATACTTGCTCAGCTAAAATTCGCCAACTACATTACTAGTTGTTAACAAACAACCTAAGTATAAATAGTATGAATTGTAAAACTGTAATTAATTTATATTCAATTTATAAACTATTAAGAATATAGATAAAATATTGATAATTGATAAATGATAATTAATGTGGCAGTGTACTATCAAAAGCAACAAAAAAAGTTTTTGTTTTTTTTTTATTAATGAAAAAACTTTTTTACTTTTGACTCTTTAATGGCAGACATAACAGATAAATTTTCACAATGGCAGAACTCTGATAAATTTACATAATGGTTGACCTAATATTGATAAGTTTACATAATGGCTGACAACATTAATAAATTTATATAATGGCAGACATAACATTGATAAATTTACATGATGGCAGACATAACATTGGCTGCATTATCGGTTTACAATTCAAATCTTTTTAGTCAGAATTTCCCAAGTTTCTGCTGCTTCATTTAGAAATGATATTATATCCATAGTGAGACTGGGAAGTGTGTAACTTGTAAGATAGCATATTTAATTTCATATTCAGGTGTTACAAATCTAGCAGTTAAACTGTAATACAATTAGATTTTGTGTTAACTCAAATATCATTCATTGCAATGGTGTCAAGAATTGTGGCAAAAATTAAAGATTTATATATGAAAAGGTTAAAGGAAAAAAAACTAAGTACAATTAGAAGTAAAAAGTATAGTTGGAAAAAAAAGATGAATTCTTTTTTTTCTAACTGTACTGGATCTAGTGAGTCCAAATAATCGTTTTTTCAGTTATCCGGGTAATAGAGTATTTATTTTTTTCATTACCCGGGTATCCGGGAAATGTAAAAAAAATTTACCCACACCATGTTGTGTTAATTAAATTTAAAATAAAATGCAACAGTTTTAGTTTTAAATCTATTTTTTATTTAAAAATTAATACTATAAAAACACAAGTTTGTCAACCGTTTCCATTTTCAACTGATTTCGGGTTTTTGTGACAAAAGCTGAAGCTACCGAAAACACTCTTTCACTTACTGTTGACGTTGGTTGTATTGTCAATAATGCTGTAAAAAGTTTTCCAATAGAGTCACCTCGTTTTGAACAATCTTTCTCCCACAACTTCATTTCTTTTTCCAATGTGGATTTTCTCTCATTATTTTCTTTCGGAACAGTCATAATTAATTCAATTGTTTTTTGAAGTTCATCATAATTTGAAACCAAACCATTATTTGAAATTATTTCTTCATTTTTGAAGAAATAATTTCAAATATGAAGAAATAATATCAATAAATTCATTTATTGGCTAATGAAGCCTTTTGAAGGTTTCATTAGCCAATAAATGAATAGAACTTTTTTTTAAATAAGTAAAATGGCAGTTAATATCTGGTTTAGGATAATTTCCAGATTTTAAAAAACGCAAGAGTGATACAACATCCTCATTTCATCTTTCTTCAATTCTTTTCTTCAAAGCAGTTAACATTTCCATGGCTAACTGCATATTTGTTTCTTTTAGTTTGTTTAGCAAAAAAATGCATACTCCTTCAGCTTTTAAAAGATTATTATTATCTTTACTGAGCTCTTTAACAGCAAGCTCAACCGTTTGTAAAACATGTGATATTTTTTTCTGAACATTTTTGCTGACCTAATTCCATTAGAGCCTTTTGTATACAATCGTATATTTTTATGAAATGATTTACCATTGGTATTATTGAGTTCCATATTGTTTTGCAATCGAGTAGCAATCGTAACTTTTTGCCTTCTTGATCTATTATATGCTTTTCAAGAACACTGCTTCGAACTGAAGAATATTTGAAAAAATTAATAATTTTTTGTGTTCCATATTGTTTTGTCATCAAGAATTTTGCCAATGTCTTCACGAAAGATTGGTAATTGTCTAACTGAATCATATTGAAAATTTAAGTTACCATCAAAAGCAAATGCATCAGCTACCTCATCATTTTGTTCGGTAGTTTCAACACAATCATCATCTGCTAAATTTTCATCATAATCCAAATTCTCATCATCTTGGAAATTTGTATCAATTACCGTATCATCATTCGTAATTAAACTCCCACTTTTTTTATAAAATACATCAAGTACAGCAAGATGTATAGCATGGTTGTAGTATAACTGAGAAAATGGTACAATATTTTTCCCATATTTTACCATGACTGATGCTCCATCATGTGTGGATCCGACGATATCATTATCCATTTCAATTCCATAATCTTTAAGTTTTGCTTTTACCAAATCGATAGTGGCATTTGAATCACAAGAACCTATTATTGCAGATTAGTCCAAGACTACAGGTGGCTTTGTTGCTGAATGAAGAGTGATATTCATGAACCTTCTAACGTTTATATCACTCCATTCATGGACAGTAATACTGAATCTCTCTTCAGATTTTTTTTGCTCTAATAACGACGCCATTAATTCTTCTTTTTTTTCTTTATAAAAATCCATTATATATTTCATTACCGTTGTTTCACTTTTTGGCATTTTATAATTACGACTTGTTACAAAACCCCTAATGGCTTCAGATGAAGTAATTCCTTTGATGCTAAATCTATCTTTTGTCGCACATTTCGCTAATATTTCATTCAATGATTCTTGACTTATCAAATTTGTTATTCCATTTCCAACTGATTTTGTGTTTTTCGAAGAAGACGCATCAGTTTCATTTGTGTCGCCCAAATTTCTTTTTTGTAAAGATATGCTATGTAATTTTAAATGATTAATCATTCCAGTAGTATTAGATCCCGGACGTTGAATTATAGATTTGCATATGTTACAAACTGACTCCGATTTCTCTTTTTTTGTAAAATGTTTCCATACCTCTGATTTTTTCGAAGACATTTCTGGGTATATGTAAATAAATCACTAAAATAAAAAATCACAACATAAAAATTGAAAATCGAAATTTATACGTATTTAAATATGCATTTATTACTTGAAATTTAGTACATTTTACTCAAAACACTTCACTTACCAAAGGCAGCTATATATATTAGAAAATTAAGTATTTATTTTATTTATTTCACAAATTTTTTTTTAAATATTTCACTTTCTTGCAAATTTTACGTCGTACAACTTCAAATTACAAATGTTATTTATTTTATGTAACTTAGTTTAAAAAAAACTTTTGAAACTTAGTTTAAAATCAATGGTTGCCAAGCAACTTTATTATAGTAAGTAAAAGAAGAAAAAACGGTAGAATACCGATACTCGGTTGATTAATAGTTAAATGAATGTGCAATATTTACACTTTTTTTGTTTAAATATTATACTCGATACTCAAAAAAAATATTCCGAGTAGTCGACTACTCAGAACTTGCTTATAAAGTATCAATTACTCGGGTACTCGGGTAATCGATAATCGTAATTGGATTCCCTAACTGGATCTGCAAAAAAAAAAAACTCATAAGAATTCATTTTGGAAGGTCAAAATTTTGTTCATTTTCAATGGTCGATGACTGTTGACCCCTTGTTATTTTTCATGTTGAATAATAAGATTGCATTTTTTTAAATTATCAAGTTTTTATCAATTTTATAAGTAACAGTTGTTTAGTAACTTTAATTAACAAAAAATATATTCCCCTAAGCAAATTAATCTAAAAAATTGAGTAAAAACTTATTGTGGTCTTATTGTGGTTAAACAGGTACATTGTTATCGCTAACTTTCAACAAAACAGCACATGCTATTGCGCTTGAGATTTCTTACTTTCTCTAGTGTTTTAGCAAAGCTTTTATTAGATGAACATAAAATTTTAATCAAATCAGTTTTAAATTCAGCATCTTCTCTTGCTTCTTGAATATTAATTTGTCATGTTGACTTAACAGCTTTTTTTTAAAAATGTCTTTAATATTAGACATTTCAGGTGGTCAATGACCACCTGAAATGTTTAATATTGTTATTTTCAGAGGTGGAAAGTAACGAATTAAGTAACGAATTACACTCACATTACTGTAATAGAGTAGTTGTTTTGTGAATTTTTTAAGTATTTATTTGGCAAACAATGCCCCTGACCTCAGTCGAACTTTTGATTCATTCCTAATTGATAGTGCAGGTCATGCTAAAATTAGGATGTAAAATTTTAATAAAAAACTCTGGAGTGTGTTTACTTTTGAGATCTACACCACTTTCACTTTAATTTTATTTCTAAAAGTTCGAAAAATCTATACGGTTGAAAAGTAACCAAGACATAAAACAATGGTTTGGTTTTACCTAATGTGACATAAGTTCCATTTTTGATATTAGAGCATGTCAATAAAATCTTTTTTGAAATTAGGTTTTTTACTGCACAAAAGTGAAAATGAGACTCATGTTGACAATTAACAATAAACAAACTAAAAATTATGTTATTTTCAGCATCTTGAAAACAATTTAACTAGCATCAAAAATAAAAAACTATAACTATAACCAACACTACCATGTAAACCACCAATACCACCATGTACACCATCAATACCACCATGTACATCACCAATACCAACATGTACACCATCAATACCACCATGTACGCTACCACCAACTTCTGATTGCATTAAAATTGTCAGCTCAAAATGAAAAAAGAGTAAAAAAAATTAAAAATAGCTTTTTGAATTTGTATTATAACTTCTCGAACATAATATGACAATAATAACCTTAAATCTTTAGAATTTTCAAAAGTGTTCTTAGAGAAAACAAGTTAAGTTGCTATACCTGCTGGCTTTCTTTTTATTTTTGTGTTTGTCATAGAGTATTTAGTGTATATGTGTATATATATATATATATATATATATATATATATATATATATATATGTGTGTGTGTGTGTGTGTGTGTGTGTGTGTGTGTGTGTGTGTGTGTGTGTGTGTGTGTGTATGTGTGTGTGTGTGTATATATATATTATATATATATATATATATATATATATATATATATATATATATATATATATATATATATATATATATTCAACAAAACTAAGTTCTACTGTTGTAAACATATGAACTGTCACAAATAATAAATTCTTGTAATTTTTATTTAATTATTATTTCTTCATTTAGTAATTAATACAAAATCATATTACTTAGATACAATTATCAAGAATTGTTAGAAAGTATTGAAGAAAAATATCTTAGTAAACAAGATGATTTAGTGCGTCAAGAATTGCAAGCAAGTTTTAATAATGTTCCAGATCCATATTCATTCCTTCTTCATGTCATGTACAAAGCATTTTTTGATTTGTACAGCAAGCGTGTTCCTATCACTTACTTTGCTTTAGATGAAATGAAAACATGGTTAGATTTAAAGGTATTTATTATTTGTGATGGTAATTGCTATTATTAATTTCAAAACCCTTTATATCATTATTTATATAAAAAGAACAAATTTTGTTTTACTTTAAATTTTAAATCAGTTTTGTTTCTTAAGATTCAACAATAAAGTTCAATAAATCTTTAACAATAAAAATTAAACAAATCAAAATTCAAAAAATCAGTAACAAGAAAAGTTATACAAAAATTAAAATTCTGCAAATTTTTAACAACAAAAATTATAAAAATAATAAAAAGAGGTGAAAGAAAAAAAGTAAAAAATGAAAATAAAAAAATAAAAATAAGAAAGGGATATGCTCTGAAGTCAAAAATTATTAACCTTTGCTTTTGAAATTTAAACTGTTAATAACATTTTTTAAAAACAAATTTACCTTCAAACTAGGCTGTAAGCAACCATTAATAAAGTTGAGAACCATTAACTAAGTTGAGAGAAAAAAACAACGAGGAGAGATAAAGTGACAGAAAACTTTTAAAATTTTTTAACTAAATACTAGGAAAACATTAAGTCACAACAGATGTAAAGATTAAAGTTTCTTTAAAAGTAGAGTTTTTAAAGATTTTTTTAAAAGTGAGTTTTTACATAAAAAAAACTCAGAAAAAAGATGCAGATTAGCTGAATGTCTAAATAAGTTTTGATTGATGGAATAAGTGATGATAGCTTGCTTAGGCAGTGACCATGGTAGTATTTATAGAAAAGAGAAAGATGCAACCTTGTATAACAAATGGTGACACAAAGACTTAAGCTTGGCAACTAGAGTAGACAGTTTTTGGACCTCAAAGAGAGTCTCATTAAAAGAACAAGCCCAAATATGACAACAGTTTTCCACACAAGGATGGACAAGAAACCTATAGAGGCAGGGAACAGAATCAAAAGCAAAAAGTGGTAAATACATTAAAGAAGATTGAAATCTATATTGTCAGAGAGTGTATGTTAGATTCGAGATGAGATAAAAGAAGGTTTTTAATTAAAGATTCAAAAACTTTGCTCATAATATTAAAAAGAGTGGTTATGCAATAATTAGAGAGATGATATAATAATTAAAGATACAATATAATAATTAGAGAGATGATATAATAATTAGAGAGATGATATAATAATTAGAGAGATCTCTAGAGTTTGTAACTACTAAAAGCAGTAACTACAGATGATGTTTTCAACTAAGTAGGAAAACGAAAAAAGATTTAGTTAAACACTTGTTGAATTGCCTTATAAGTATTAAAAAGAGTTCTGGAAAACACTTTTTAAAGACTGGGACAAGAATGTTGACCACAAACTGTAGAATAGTAAGTAGAAAATAACTTTAGAAGCAGAAAGCAGGAGTGATTTGGATGTCTAACAGTGAATTGATCTGCTGTCTTGGATGAAAGAGAGTTTATCTGAGAATAATGCAACTTAGCATTAGACAATAACTTTTTGCTTTGGTTTCTTTCAATAATAAAGTTTGTTCTCTAAAGAGTCTCTAAAAAATAATACAGTTTCTTTTTTACCACCTTTAAAAAAAGAGTAAAATAGTGCATAACAAAAAATTGTTATTTAAAAGATATCAAATAGATTTAGTTCTGATATTGTCTACTTGAATATATATAAAATAAAAAAACTTTTTTTTTAGGTTTGCTTTTTTCTGGCTGATTCTATTTCATTTAATCTTACACAAGATTCATCAGATGGCAGACATTCTGCCAATGTTATCTTGGCGCAATGTCTGCTATCTGATGAATTATTTTTTTTTTTTTTCGTCACTTTTCGCAGGTTGTGTGTGTCGAAGAAGTTTCAAATGTACCGCTTCTAGTTGCTTTCTTGGAGTCAGGACTTATCTGTATTTTATCTGAGCTTGTAACTCGCATAGATACGGAGCTTATATCATTCATGTCATCGGTTGCCAGTGTAATCTTATTTTGATTTTCGTTATCACTTGCACTAATAATTACACCCGATATCAGAGGCCCTGCTGTTGACAATATCTCACTGGTTATTCTACTTCGTTTTAGCGGGAAAATTCCATAAGTTTCAAAAGTCATTATAGCATTGCTTCAACTGAATGTCCCACTCTGTAACCAATTTCAGCTATTGTGGAAAAGTTGCTTAATCTACATTTTTGTATTTTGTTGTAATATAAAAGGTTTTCAAACAAGATGCTTTAACTGTCTTGAAAATACCTTCATCTAAAGACTGTAAAATACTTCTTGTATAGGCAGGTGAACAAAGTAGCTCAATGTTGTTTGCAATAACTAAGTCTACAACATTTTTTGATATGTGAGAGTTGTGTCCATCAAATATTATAGCTTCGATCCTTCTAATTGGTTTATTTTGGCAAAAAAAGTCGTTTCAAACCATTCAATGAATTGGGGAATTCTTCTAACCTGAAGGAGAACAGTTTTAATGCACATTGTTTGGACCGCTATTACACCAGGTGCTGCAAAGGATGATTTTCTGCTTGCCTATGTCGATTTGAAATCCGTTTTCATCTACATCGAATATATTTTGTGGCTTATTCTGTAGATAAATTTTCTCAATAACAACTGCTAGTTTTTCAAAAAATTTATCAACTACGTTAACATTGCATGCATACAGACGGTTAGCAGGAAGAGATTGTCCAATCTGACGGGTAAGTTCGTTTTTCCATCTCTATTCAATACTACACATCCAATCAATTCAAGGCCTGCCATTCTTAAAAGTTTTAGGCTCTACCACTACTGTTTATGTAATTTTGCACAATACTCGCAACATTGCAACAATATATCCAAAAGCCCCAATCTCCAAGTTTCTAAATTGTATGAACAATCAACGTTTCTTCTTCTCTTGTCAAAATTGCTGGGCATCCAACTTGTTTACAATACACTTTTTAAAATATTTTAAGTCATAAAAAAAGTCATTTAACCACAACTGTGATTATTTTAACCACAACTGTGATTATTTTAATCACAACTGTGATTATTTTAATCACAACTGTGATTATTTTAATCACAACTGTGATTATTTTAATCACAACTGTGATTATTTTAATCACAACTGTGATTATTTTAATCACAACTGTGATTATTTTAATCACAACTGTGATTATTTTAATCACAACTGTGATTATTTTAATCACAACTGTGATTATTTTAATCACAACTGTGATTATTTTAATCACAACTGTGATTATTTTAATCACAACTGTGATTATTTTAAATGTTTTTTTTTTAAAAGACTTAAAAATTTAGTTTCAAAAGAATGTAAAATAGTTTTGTAATATTTTTTAAAGAAGAATTTTTTTTCTTGCTAATTTATTATGTAAAACATAAATCTCTTTAACATAGAATAAAATATGTGAATGCAAATAAAAAACTTTTTATTTTCATTAAAAAAAATTTTTTCTTATGAAAAAGGAGAAATGTTTTTGATTAAAAGAATTCTTCTGAATTTTTTGTTTCTTATTAATTCAATATTGTGTCAAGTTCTTTAGATGTAATTTATCATGATATAATTTGATATAATGATATAATTTAAATAATATATAATTTGATGTAATTTATCATGAGCAAAAACTTTGTTTACATTTATTTTATTGATAACTAAAATCTATCTATAATCAAATAAAAGTATTAAAATATGTTGTGATAAAGAAACAAAGATTATGTTAAGAATAAGATTGTTTTAAGAAATGAACAATAAGCTTTTTCAAATACCGAATTGAGATTACATCAGTAATTGTTGTTATATTAGTTTAAATAATTTTTTACACAGTTTAAAATTAAATTTAACTAGAATGAGGTACTTTAAAATATGCTTATGACACTATTTAACTTTTAATGATGTTAATCTTGTGAAGCTGTGTTTAAAAATGTAAAGCTGTATTAAAGTCACATTTATTAGCGTTACGCGTTTTTGTTATGTAATTAAAATCTCATAACAAGGCCTGGGCTTTCGTATAAAAGTTTAAAAACAGTATTATCCTCCAGAATTAAATCAAGTTTTGGAAACAAAAGCAAAATTAAAGGCCGAAATATTTTTGAAATTTAGTACTTCACTTGCCTTGAGAGAATTTAAAATTTATGACTAATTGCCAAAAAAAATTTAATTCTATTACTTAGTGGTATTTTTAGCATGGGAAAAGCTAAGAAGTTCAAATGAAATAAAGAAATTAATTATAAAAGCTGTAGGAAAAAAAAAAAGATTTACTGAAAGATTTCTGAACTTAGCAATGTTTGTAAACCTGGAATTAGTCACTTCATTTTCATTTTCAGAAAAATTAGATCCAAAATATCTAGGATCTAGCATGTTTGCAAGGAAATCAACATCATTGATAGTCTGAAGGTATCTAGTTTCCAATATTTTTTTTTCCAGTTGATAAAAATGGTAACATGTTTATCTGCTCTTTAAAAATCAGGGGGAAATCAGGGAAATTAGGTCAAATTTTAGAAAAATCAGGGGGAAATCAGGGAAATTAGGTCAAATTTTAGAAAAATTAGGGGGAAATCAGGGAAATTAGGTCAAATTTTAGAAAAATCAGGGGGAAATCAGGGAAATTAGGTCAAATTTTAGAAAAATCAGGGGGAAATCAGGGAAATTAGGTCAAATTTTAGAAAAATCAGGCAAAAATCAGAGTTTTTATTATCTTATTTTAGAAGCTCTTTAATTATGAGTCTTTTTTTTTAACACTCATTTTAACTCTAAGAAAAGCAATATTTTTTTTTGAGCTTGATTAATAGCTAGCTTTTAGTAACTAACTAGTATTTAATTTGTACTAGTTAGTTTGTACTAGTTAGTTGAGCATTTAATTTGTACTAGTTAGTTATTTGATGTTATTAGTTAGTTAGTTAACTATTTGATGTTATTAGTAAGTTGTTTTTATTTTCTTTAGACTAAAACAAATTTAATTAAATTAAATAATCAACTCAACATATTTTGATGATCAGTGGTTACAAATTCCAGAATATAATGCTTGGTTAATGTGTGGGGATACAACTACCTCAGCAAAATGTAGAATTTGTCCAATTTTTTTTGTCCACATTCAAGAAATAAAATTGAATCATATGTTTTCTACAGTCGTTGACATGAAAGTTTGTGGAAAAATTGCCTTTAAAATATGCCATAGTGCGAAATGTAAAATGTTTTGACCCAGAAATAATGTGCAATGAAAAAATGGCAATGGAAAGGATAAGTGATTTGGTTGATAACTTGATTCAATTGCATTGGGTTACCCCAAAAGGCGGGAATGAGGTAAATAGCAAATTCAAGAGATATTTAGAAAAAATTGTCTCTAAAAATAGGGAACTTTTCATGAATTTTTTTTTTCTAAAGTTGGTGGTTTAGATAATTATCCAGCACTGTCCAAATTAATCAAAATGATGTTGACTCTTTTTCATGGTCAAGCACTGGTTAAAAGAGGGTTTAACACTAACAAGAATATGTTACAACTTAATATAAGACTTGACTTAAACCCGGAATCTATAGTTATCACTAAGGAACTGAAAGAATCTGTCAAAAAATCACAAAGTCAACAAAAGATTGAAATGGCTACTCGAAAAGAAACTGAGCTTACAGATGCTCAAAGGTGAAAAAGTGATTTACTTGCTATAGACATAAATGACTTACAAACTAAAAAGGTTATTCTGGAAAAAGTAAAAAAAAAGCTAAAAAGTGATTCAGAAGCAATTCTTGTGAAAGCTGCAAATGATGCTAAAAAAGCTCATATGAACTCAACATATGCTATTGAAGCAAAAATTATTCTCGAAGAGAGGAAAAAAAAGAAAGAAGAGATTAAAAGATTAGATGAAACAATTGATTTATTATTTAAGAAAAGTAAAGAACTTTGAAATTTTAGATATTAGTTTGTTATTTATATACAGCAAATTCTAAATTTATATAGATATTTAATAGATATTTAAAAGTATATTATATAAATTATTTTTTATTTTTTAAATGACTTTTAATATTGATGTGGCAATACTATTTCATTCTTTTTGACAAGAAATAAAAAAACTTTAAGTTGTTTTAACTTTTATCATTCTTTCTGAATTATTTTTTCTGAATTATTTGATGTATGTCTATTTTTCATCTTTTAAATATATGTTGATTTTAGCTTTATATTTTACTTTTACATTACTTGTGTAATTCAGTTTATTTTGTTCTGAATGCTATTTATCAAAACAGTTTATAGAGTAAATAAAAACATTTTTACATTTTACTTTGATTAAATTTTAAATGTACTTTATTAACAATAGTAACAATGACAACATACTTACAATACTTTAACAAATGTAACAATAATGCTTTATTTTGAACTGCACATGATTTTTCAATCTATTATTCCCCAATCATTTTTAAGTCTGGAAAAGCTCATAATAACTGACATAAAAATCAGGAAAAAGAGGTCGACAATCAGGGAAAAGAGATCCACGATCAGGGAAAAATCAGGGAAAATCAGTGAAATCCACCCCAAGATTTTGGCAGACACCCTGGAGAAAATCAACCAATAAAAACCTTTTATTTATTTTGATTAAAGATCTTTGTTATTTCTCAGGATATTATCATTAATTTAGTTGATTTGATGCCTCGTCTAATTAGTTTTGAAATATAAATTATAATAATGATTTAATTAGTAGTTATAATTTAGTTTTATAAATATTTTAAACATTTATAAATTTCAAGAAGAAAAACCCGTTCAAAGTTTAGTTTTTCATTTTGTCAAAAGTGACTGAACTCATAAAGATTATAATCACAAGTTGAAAAAAAGAAAACCCAATCTTGTGCATAAACAAAATTGTTTAAATAACCCTCTGCAGTGAACTAAAATAAATACCATTTAAAAAATTAAATGCCATTAAAAAAAACTTAATAATAAAGTAAATGCCATTTAAAAAATTAAATGCCATTAAAAAAAAACTTAATAATAAAGTAAATGCCATTTAAAAAAAAATTCTACAGTAAACTAAACATTTATTTATAAACTTATATATTTGCAACTGTAAAGCATTTTTCTAAAAAGATATATTTTTTGTCCATGATAGGTATATTTTTTATCCATGTAACCCTAGTATGCGCTGAGCCCAGAATTACTTATAATAACTGAAATGGAAATCAAGGAAAGTAGTAACCTTGTTTAATACTTTTGTGTTAATGTCTCGATTGTCCAGTTATTCATAGTAAAAAGAAGTTTTTTTTAAGTTTATTTTTTAAATTCATTCATTATAACAAAAAGATTTGTAACTAAATATTTAATTTGTGATGCTCTTTGACAAAACAACTAGATTCGAATATAAATCAAGTTCTTGTGTATTTAGAACAAGTTGTTTCTAAAGCTTTCTAAAACAGAACAGAATATATAAGAAGTGTTATTTCAATCAGTATTTTCAAAAATCTAAGAATGATTTTCTTTAAGATTTATTTTTACAGAAAATTATTTTAAAAACAGTATAAAGTTTACTCCCTGCAATTTTTTTTTATTTTTTTTAAAACTGCATTTAAAAAAAAATATTGTGAGGATAAGTAAATGTTGTTTGGCAAAATAATCAAATAATTAAATAATTTAAACATTAAGTAATTATTTATTATGATCTCATAAATATTAAGGATTAAAAATACAAACATTTTTGCAAATATATATGCAAAGTTTTTTTTATTCATTGAAAATCACCTCTTTTAATATAACTTATTTTTATAGATTTTTTATAAGAAACAAAAATAATTATCTAAATATTTTCTGAATAATAATTGATGAACTAAAGATTGTCTTTAAACATGAGTTGTTGATATTAAATTTTGATGACTTGCTTGTCTTACTAATATACACCAAATGAAATTTTTTATCAAAATCTTAGATCTAGATAACAGCATTGGTCCACATGGTTGGAATGACTTGTTTTTAATGTAAAGTAATATGGTTATTCTCAAAACTTTTTTTTTTAAATCATTTATCTAAAATGAAGTTTGAATTATTAAATTGTTTTGTACTTTTAAATTACACAGTGAAACAAAAAAAAATTTCCTGGCTTATAACATTTTTATTATATTGCTTTAAACATTTTTATTACATTGCTTAGGTTCCAAATATGAAAAAAAAAAGCTATTAAATACTCAAAATTTCAAGTTACAAAATAAATTACTAATTTTGTGTTACAAAGAAAATATCTATTGATTTAGTTTCATGAGCTGATAAAACTGGAAAGTTTTTTTTTTTACTATTAAATTTTGAAAATATCAATATCCTGATCACAAATACAAACCTTATAAAATGATAATTTTTTTTTTTAGATAATACAATTTAACAAACCTATAAAAAATATTTAAAACCTGGGAACAATAAATATTGTTATTTGTTTAAACTTATCATTTGTCATAATGTTTCCAAGTGTGTGTCTTTTTAAAATTTTAGATTACACCTTTTGTGTAACTTCTGAAGTTTTACACATAATAATAAATTATTATTTGTACAACTTCAGAATTTGATAATTTTCCATTTTAATAGTTTTAATTTATTTATTTTAGAAAAGTCAAGGCGAATTTGTTCCTGTTCCGGCTAATTTCCAAAAAAAGTCAGCGCTAGAATTTATATATCGAAAAGGGTATAACTATTTGATCTTAATTACAAACGTTTTTCAACTTGATAATGAGGACAACTCTTTTTTGGCAGAAGTTATTGAACTTGAAAACTTAACATGCACAAAGTTTAAGGAAACAGTAATTATTGTGCAGACATTGCATTTGCAAAATTGTTTTACTGCTGAGCAAGTTATGCTTCCATTATTAGCATTTGATCAATTACAGATTCTAGAAAGTTACATAAATGAGGATAAGGATCTACAAGGAGATTATGTCAACATGCTTAACAATCTTTGTGCGATGACTGATGAAGAGAGGCATGAGTATTTATGGTAAGCACAATTTGTTTCTAGTTATTAAAAAGCATTACTACTACTACTACTACTACTAATACTACTACTACTACTACTACTACTACTACTACTACTACTACTACTACTACTACACTACTACTACTATTACTGGGCATTTCCATTTCTGTGCCTGATTTTTTATTTTTCAATTTTATTTAGCAATTAAAAGATGGGACTTTATGCAATATGCATACTTTTTTGATTTTCTTAAAGAACAAATATAAAAAAAATATTTTTATCATATTTTAAGCTATCTGAATAAATTAAATATACACATTTTTACAATTTTATTTTTTTGAGTAATATTAACGCTACATTTTGAAAAACATACAATAATTTTCAAAACGCCATACTCTAGCTAGAAATAATTGATGACTGCCATTTCTCATTGAAAATATATTAAATATAAATCGTAGAAGTATAACTTTTCACTTGAAATACTTACTACATGATATTGACAAATTTGCAACAGTCGTGTGTGATTTCCGTGCGTGATCATTCATAAACTGTATTTAAACGATTGCTGTGACTCTATGATTCATAGTACAATCCTGTAACTTTCTGGAAATCTGTACTGTTTAAAATATTATTAACAAAAAAAAGTATACCTGTGAAACTTATATTTTTCAAGGAATTAAAGTTTATTTATCTAGTAACTAAAATAGAAGTTTTTCTGTTCCGTGCGTGATTCCATTTCAAACTTTATTTATTCTTTGTTAACATTACTAATGCTTACTATTTTTGGTTTACAAAATATTTATATTGATTAGAATTAAATGAGATTAAATTGGAGATCGCTAGTTTTATTTTTATGAAAATAAAAGTAAAAACATATACAAGTTTCTGTGCGTGATTTTTTGGAAATGCCCTACTACTACTCAGCCTTGGTCAGGAAGTTGTGCGATTGCATGCCATTATATGAACATGCAAATAATACTTTATTTTGACGATTTGACCACAGTTTTTATCATTTTAAAAATGCGTTGAAAGAAATTATTTTTAATTATGTGAGTAATTAAAAATAATTTCTTTTTAAATTAAAGTGACAACTTTAAACAACAAATGTCTCTTTAATAAACATTATTTAAGAATCATTAAAGTTAATACACTCGAAAAGATTTTGTCGAGAAGAAAAAAAGACAAACTTTTGAATTAAAGACAGCAATTTGAATTAAATAACTTTGATCTTTACAAATGTTTTTATATTATTAAAATGGTTTTGAATAAAGTAACAATTTACTGCTAATGATTTCTTACATAAAGTATTGATGTATTTTTCTTTAGTCTTTAAATAAAAAAAATTATTGATTAAAATTAATATACTCAAAATATAACAAGTTTTTTTAGGGAATCTAAGTTAAAAAATATATGTATATATATATATATATATAATTTTTTATAATAGTTTTTTTTCTTTAGTCTTTAAATAAAAAAGTTATGAATTAAAGTCAAGTTAAATTATTAACAAATTAAATTAAATTATAAATTAAAGGAATTTTTGTAAAACGTGTTTCCAAAAAAAAAAGCGTTATTAAAAAAAGTTTTGTCGTTAAGTTAAATCATCTTTTAAAAAAATACCATTAATGCGCGATGATGTTTTCTATAAAAACAAAAGTTTATTTTTTTTTTTTTTTTGTTGATTAGTGCTATTTATTTTTTTACTATTAATATAATATTATATGGTGCGGTAACAAAGCAGACGGGACACTACTAGTTTTACATTATAAAAACATTAGTAAAGATTCAAAGTTATTTATTTCAAACGTATTTATCTTATTGTTTATTATTTATTTTAGTTAAGTTTTGTTTTTATTTTTTTTATTTTTGTTTTAATTACTTATTACTAAGCTATTTTTATTTTATTTTTCATTATTTTTTTAAGATTTTTTTCTTTTTTTAAAATAAGTTTGTTTTTTTAGTTTCTTTATAACTAAGTTTTTTTTTAGTTTCTTTATAACTAAGTTTTCAGCGCTTTATTAAAAAGTTAAAACTGTGGTCAAATCGTCAAAACAAAATATTATTTGCGTGGTCACATAAAACTGTGAAATCGCACGCCTTCTTGACCAAGCCTGCTGTTACTATTACTAGTACTACTACTACTACTACTGCTACTACTACTACTACTACTACTACTACTACTACTACTACTACTACTACTACTACTACTACTACTACTATTGTTACTACTACTACTACTACTACTACTACTACTACTACTATTGTTACTACTACTACTACTACTACTACTACTCAGTCGTGGACAGGAAATGAGTGCGATTGCACTTGATTCTTAATCATGCACGTAGTATTATTTTTTTTGAAAGCTTTACCATGGCTTTTTAGACGTTTGAAAACACACTAAAAATACCGACAAAAAAAATAAAAAAGTTTATAAAAAAAAAAAAAAATCTTAAAAAAGGAGAAATAAAAAAAAATTAAAGACGATAAAAAAAAAAATCAACTTATCTAGAACTGAAAAGCTAACATAATATAAATTCTTTTTAATTATATTTATATTTATGTAAAGATTGAATAACTTTAAACTTTGATCTTTTTTTAAATGTTTTTATAATATTAGGTAGGGGTGTTCGATTTCGCTTTCTAATCAGTTTCGGATGTAGTTTTCTCTGTTTTGGAAAGTGTTTATTTGGAAAGTGAAATTTACATTTTTATGGTATAGAGTGAATAATGTTATCCGTAGCAACTCTTTAGCAACCGTATCAGCTTTGTTTTGTTTGCTCATTTTTTGACACTTAACTTTTAATTTGAACTGCAAAATGTATTTTTCAAATTATCTTTTGTTTAACGACATTCTGTTATTTACAAGTTATAGTTTTGATTTTAATGATGACATTTAAAAAGGAAGAAGTTATGTTGTTTATGTTGTGTTTATGTCAACACAGATGCTGAGTGATTTCTTCTTATATTTTTTTATCTATCTCAGTAATACAAATAACTGCATTTTTTAGTTATTAAATATAGGTAATAATAAAAATAAAGTAAGGTTAAACATAAAAAGACAGTTTATATCTAACAGATGTACATCGCATGTACATCTGTTGTACTACATGTACTGCAAAAAATTAAAATTGATAAACCACAAGTAAAAAAGGCTATTTTGTCATCAAAAATCAGTTTAGATGATTCACTCCTAACTGTTGACAAAAGAGATTCTAACTTCTTTATAATAGTTCACTTTGGAATACTCTTCAACTTTTAAGTAGATGCCTAGATTGTGGTGACAAGGTCACTGTCAGTCTTGACCAGATGAAAAAACTTGGACTCTTACACAACCTTAAATTATAATATATCTTGTGATTGGAGTTACAATTTTTACTTGTCTCCTGAAATAAAAAATAATACATTCAAGAAGTCAATGTATGTGCTGTAATCAGTTTTCGCAAGATTGGTTTTGCCTTTGAACAACAAAGAGCCAGTGTAAATGGCATAGAGATAAACTTGAAGGTACAAGTACAAGATAAAATTAAAGGTACAACATACAAAGCGCATTTAAATTTGCCTCTAGTAAACAAAGATATGGAAAGCATCTTTAAAAATATTGGCTCTGAAAATCTTCTATAAAAATGCTTACATGGGTTTACCCAAAATCCAAATGAATCTTTAAACCAATTAGTTTGGAATAAGTGCTCAAAGTCTCATTTTGTGTCACAAACTGTTTTAGAGATAGAAACAAGTTCTGCTATCATTAATTAAAATAGGTAATTACAAAGGTGTTATTGAACTTAATAATGTATTTAAACTGTTAAATTTGACTGCAGGGAAATACTTTAGCTGCTATGCAACAAAAAATGACAATACTCGTATCAAGCAAATTAATAGTAAAATAAGCAAAAAAAAAAAGAAAAAAACAAAAGAAAAATTTAAAGTGCATTTAAAAAAGGATTCTTTGACAAAAAAAAAAGACACAAATTTCATTTTTGTATACTATTTATTTCATTTTTCATTTTTCTTAGAAATAAGTTTTTGTTAGTTCACTTGAATTCAAATGACAATTTTTAGTACTTTAAGTTGACTGATTGATTTGAAATTTTCCCAGACCTTTTTTCAATATTGGAACTAGGTTCTGAACTAAAAAAAACTATTTAGATCAAATAGAACTTGTTTAATGGCACTTTATTTTTCTAAAACAATCTAATTTTTTAATGCTTAAAAAGAATTGTCAGCCATTATGGATTGATACATTTTAAATTTTGATTTTAGTTCAGAACCTTTTTTACTACTTTATGTATATGTTGTCAAAATTTGGTTCAAATATTACTTATAGATTCTGAGAAACTAATGTTTGAAATTTTATACTTTTCTGTTAATTTTTGCTGACACAGCTTCTCTTTTTTTAGGCATTTTTAAAAAATTTGTTAATTTTTTTTTATCAAATGTATTAACTGTAAACTTAGTCTAGAGACATTTTTATTGATTTTTGCAGAATTTAGTAAAAAAGGGGTAAAGCCACCTTAAATATACTTTATTGTTTGAAGGCAAAAAAATGAAAAGTTCAAATTTTCTGGGAAATGAAAATGGATTAAATTCAATCTATTTCCAATTTCCGTAAGTAGAAAGTATTTAAAAATTATTCACTTTCTTTGGATTTTTACATGACATTAAATTTATAGTATTACTATTAACTAAATTTGACCTTACTTCCCTATTTTTTCAATAACTTCCCATTGGAAAGTCAAAAATAAATTTAAACAATCCTTACTTTTTAAATTTTTATTTATTTAATAAGACTTCTTTTTTACAAATAGTTTATTATATCATAGTCAAAAGAAAATATCCCTGTCGAGAAATAAAATACTTTGACAAAATGGTCTTATTGTTTGAAAATATTGTAATCACATGATCAAAGTAAGTAAAAAAAAAATGTATTAATTGAAGTATAGTCAATAGAAGTTATCCTTTAGTTAATAGAAGTTATCCCGAGAACTTTTATTGGCTATGGTTTCACTATTTTATTCTATTATTATTTTATTAAGTTGATAATTTTTTATATAAATTAAATTAATTTATAACCCTTATTTAGACAATATTGAATTAGATAAATATTAATATTGATTTAGATAAATATTGAACTTTTTTAGATAAATATTGAACTTTTCTTTTATTTAAAAGCCTGTTAAAACCTAAACCCTCCGTCGATGTATGTAAACTCCACTGCAAGCCTTCCCAGGAAATATGTGCAGTTTTTTATCTTGTATGTCCGCACACAAGTATTTTATTTTAGAAACTTGGTCACGGCTGTTTGCAAGTTTTTTTATATTAAGCGTTATGGAAAAACTTGCTTAAAGTTTTAAAAACAAAGAAAAGCAAAACTAATTTAAAATAAATTTGAATAGAAAAAAACTTGAATAGAAAAAAACTTAAAAAAGATTAAAATTTAAATAATTTGTGTACTATTTTTATTTTTGTTTCTTTAGAGTGGTTGTTATTTTTAGCAACAAAATTGGATAAGGCAAAATTTAAAAAAATGATTTTCCTATATTTTATTTTATTTTATTTTTGAGAGGAAAATATAAATTGCTATCTGTTTTTGTAAAATAGATTTGTATAATTTTAATGTAACAAGTATATATTGTCCCTATATGAAAACGTTTATGTAATACATGCATATACTTTCATGTATAATTTTTTTTATTATATAATTATATTTCTTTGTTCTGAAGTATGCACACCTTAAGCATATTTGGATAAAGCGCTTTCTTCATACACGGAATGTCCAGGGTTTACATCCCACCTCTTTCCAAATATTTTTTTTTTCTACCCGCCCCTCCCTTTTGGTCTACTATGTTATTAGTGAAATATACGGAAACAATTATTAACAATTATTATTATTAATTGCAAACCATTAATAATAATTAATATTAATAGTTGTTCACCAATAACAAAGACCAAAAGGAGGTGGTGGTTAGAACTAAATGCACAGAGCTGAATGTTAAAAGGTAACAGATATCCAAAATTTCAAATCGCTAAAAGATTAGAGTTAAAAAACATACAAGAATAGAAAGGTAATATGAAACAATTAAGGTTTTGTAAAAAATATTTAGGTGGCCTAATTAAAGCTTAAAATCTATGTTTATATGTGAATGCGCCTTACTTAGAAAATGCACTGAAAGGCTTAAATGGTTTAATAAATCTGAATGTGAACACCAAAACCTCTTTTATATAAAAAAGAGAAAAGTCCTGAAAACTTTTTTAATATATGTTAAGGAAAAAGTTTTCAGGATTTGTAAAGTATGACATGGATAATCACTGGGTTTATGATCTCCTTTCACCCTTTCCCACAGTTAAACAGGGTTGTTTGTTTTTTTATTGGTAATTTGCTTTCACTATGTTTAATAAATATGCCTTTCCTTTCTCTAAATGAAATAATTTATATATGTTGAAAAAAATCAATATTTACAATATTCATTACATATGCATTAAGCACCATATTTGCATGCTCAATATGCCCCACAACTTGCACAAGCTTGCCTAATACATAATTATACTGAAATCTTATGTCCCTAAAAATAAGTTCAGCAATTTTTTTGCTTAGCAACTTTTACCTTTAATAAATTTATATTGTTCACTTAATAGCAATTTATTTGATATCAATGGGTTTATCATATTAATTTATATAACTTTTTAGATGATTTTTTAAACTATTGATCTTAAAAAGGATTTTTTAAAGTATGAAATGGTTTATCACTTGTATTAGTTCATATTTTGTTTTGTTTATAAAAATAGCACTGAAAAAGGTTTAGTGGTAAAAGATGAATCAAAGTTAAATCAAAAGACATTGTCAAAAATTGCATCAAAAGCTGTGAAACGTTATCATTTAAATCCAGGTGTTTTTATTTTTGTCATTTAGTTGTTTTAATTTTGTTCTTTATTCTGTTATTTTAATGTTTATTTTGTTAATTTTTGTGTATACTTACTATAATAATTATTACTAGCTGTTTGGACTTGTAAAATATTGTTCTTGATAAATCTTTTCCACATCTCCACATGACCATTTCTTTACTTTTTCCTTACTTCAATATTTTTTAATAGAAGTAGAAAAATAATTGTGCATATATAAAAACTATACTAAAATAATTATGCATATTTGTATAGAAAAAAACTATACCTATTTTTTACCTTTTAAAGTTTTAAAAAAAAGGTTTATAATATAATTATCTTAAAAAGTTTTTAAACATTTTGGTAGCCATTGCGCAAACTGCGATTTATTAGCAGTTCAAGTATGAATACTCATCTAAATAATATTCAAAATACCTGCTTGAAATGTATTGATTAATTTCAACCCGTATACAAAGTTTAATAAACTTTTAAAAATTGACTTAAAAATATGTGGAATAATGGTTGGTGTGGAATAGTCACAACAACCATTTTTATATTTATTATTTATATAGTCATTTTATTTCAATAATTATGTTTGTATACCTTTTTTTTTTGCAGTTTTTATCTTTTTTTTTTTTTTTTTCACAACTTTTATCTATTGCTTTTTTTTAAAAAATATTTTTTTATTTGTAAACTGAAGTATTTATTACTGTTTTTAATAGTTCAAAATAACAATTGTTTCACTAGTTTAGATAACCATGCAGCAAAGTTGGAATGAACTTATAAGGTTTAGTTTTCATAGTTTAATCTTATGCTAATAATTTTGTAGATGAATATCCTGAAATATTCAGAGCAAAAAATCTTGCTGGCTTAAAGTATCTTATTTACATGAAATGGAAAGAGGTAAACTTCCTGTTTATTTATATATTTTTTAATTTTTGTATACATTTGTAAACTTTTTGTATGAATAACTATATTAAATTTTTAAACAACAATATCGTATTGTTTTTCTAAAGAGAAATGGTGATCAGGTTGCACTTCAAAAATGGGATGACATGATTGAGGTATATGTTAGTATGGCTAAAATTTATGTTATGTATATGTTAGCTAAAATTTATTTTTTTGCATCTTTTATGATTACTTAAGTTAAATAAATTCATTGGAAATTTTAGAAATTTTAATATCATATTACAATCTTAACATTAAATTTTTTTTCCTTCATACTTTAACCCTTTTTATTTATTTTATAAACAATATTTTTAATGATTTGTATTGAAATTGTTTCTAATAGAAAGAGTCAAGCATAAATATTTTAAAACTAATTTCCCAGCACAATGGACGATTGTGGCTTACATTTGCAAGGTCAAAAATTAACTAATATTTGCAAGACCTTAGTCGTGAAACTTAAATGATGATGTTTTGCAATCATTTTTAAAAAGTCTAACTTAGAAAGAAAGTGTCATAGATTTTATTCACTCTAAAAAATGAAATTTTAAATTCAGATATACATTTTTTCTATAAATTTATAAATCTTTTATAAATGTTGTTGTTGTATAATGACGCTGGAGTTGTTTAGATCATCCCCCTCTTTACTTTTCAGCTGATTTCCCCTCTTTATCTTTCAATAGTTTAACTATTTTAATTTTTATTTAACAAAATCTTATTTTTTTAAATAATACTTTCAGATTTTATAGTTGTAAATAGAAAAAAAATGTTTTTTTTAACAAATATTTATTAATTTTAAAAATTTTTTGATTTTATTTGTTTAATTTGCTTGTAACTGTTTATTTAGATTGTAATTGACTTTTCTTGTTTATCTTCCATTTTGTTTTTCTTTCATTGTTTAATATAATTTATTCTGATTGGTTGACGTGATTCATTTCTCATTGTACTTAAGTACAATGAGAAATGAATCACGAAAAAAAGATAAGAAGTACTTCTTATCTTTTTTTTTTTTGTTTTTTTTGTTTTTTTTTTTTGTTTTTTTTTTTGTTATATTAATAGCTTTTTAAGGTTTATGAAACTGCTCCTTTAAAGTCTTTTTAGGGTTTATAGTACTGTTCTTTTAAATTCTTCTGTATTAATTTAGGCTGCTGTTGCAGGTAAAGTTTGGCTACAACAGAAGTTAGTTGAAGCATACTTAGAAAATAATGATTTGCAAGCTGCAGTATCTTGGGTGTATAAAGTTTCTCTTCCACCAAAATATTTGCCACCCACTCTGCTTAATGTAATGGGAGAATATATAATGTGAGTTGATTAGGTTATTATATGTAAATTCAGTGTACTTTTGACATTTTTAAGAATCTCAAATTTTTGGAAACAAATAAAAAAGAAAAAGAATAATGTAAAAATAAAAATAACAATTTATTAATTTTTTATGAATGAAACTTTTTTTTGGAAATTAAAATGTAGTAATAAAGCAGAAATTTTTATTTGGTAAAATGCATTTTTCTAAATTAGTAATAAAAAGTATTTTATTAATAAATTAATAAAAAGGCTTTTTACTTTGCTTTTCTTATAAAAAATTTTAAAAAATCGATAAAAATGGTTCATAAAGTGTTTTATAATTTTAAATTTCTTTTGTGATGGTTTTCTTTCTTTTTTCTACAGGGAGGGGGGGGTGGGACTATCATCACTGTTTACTGCAACAGCAGCAACTATAATAACTGGTTACAACAACAACACCAACTATCATAACTGCTTACTACAACAACAACAACAACTATCATAACTGCTTACTACAACAACAACAACTATAATTATTGCTTACTACAACAACAACTAAAACTTATATAAGATGATCAAATTGTGAAAGTTTACTGAAATTTATTTTTTACAGTGATTTCTGTAGAATATGACATAATTGACATATTGACTATGACTTATTGTTGACTTGTTTATTACATTTGCATAGAACTTATTATATTGATATAATAAACTATAAGAAAAAAAGCCATTTAATATTTTTAAGTACTGCTACTTTCTACTCTTTTTCACTATATTAAATTAATTTTATTAAATATGTCAAATTTATTTTTTTATCATGAGTACTTATATTATTTAAAGTATTATTATTGTTGTACATTAAAGGTCTTTTAACTTGTCTCCAGTACAATCTAGTGACCAAGAAGATACATTCTTAAGTACTGGAGAAAATTGGGAAGAGGAGGTTGAAGTATCTCCAACTGTACAGTTTTCTTTATCAAATGGTTTTTTGTCTGCTGAAAAAGCTCAAGCTTTAGAAAATCAATTCTACAAGTTTAAATTACCTTTAAAAGATGTCATTATAGTTGATACCATTCCTAAATTAATTGAAGCAGAAAAAATATTGTTCAAGGTTAAATAGCATATTTTTTTAGAAAAAGTATTTTATTTATATATTTGCTTATAAGTTAATTTATTGGTTTTTAAACAGCCCAAGCAAGTAATAGGGTTTGACACAGAATGGAAGCCATCATTTACAAGAGCCGGTGAACAAGACAAGTAATAGATTTTATACATCAATTTTTTTCAAGGAATTCTGAGAGGTTACAAATTTTCTTAGGCTAAGTTTTTATTATCTGTTAAAATCAAATCTTCATAGAGTTTCAACTCTTCAGCTGGCTGTGATTGACAAGGTTTTTATTGTTGACATGCTACAATTGTATGTTGCTGATTCAGCAGAAAACGCTCTTAGAGAATTCTTCTACAAGTTTTTTACTTCCAAGGATGTTGTTAAAATAGGTTTTTATATTTTCACTTTAAATGTTGTTACTTTGTTTATTTTTTCAATGAATATTATTTTTGTTATTTTTTATATCAGGTTATGGAATAGTTGGTGATCTTAAGATTTTGATTGGAATGTTTGCATATATGAAAGAATTTATTCTGAATGCTTCAAACTTGGTAGATTTAAATGAAATAAGTGAAAAGGTAAGGAATGAATGAACAAATGGATAAGTGATAAGGTAAGGAATGAAAGAATATACTGTGAAATTTCTATACAATTTTAATTGTTATGCCCTTTTTTTTCTATGCTGGACCTAGATATTAAAGTATCCAGTGACAAATGCATATCTTTACCCTGTTCAAAGTGTTCAGAATGAGAAAGGTTTAAGCTTGCTTATTTATCGATTGTTGGGTCAAAGTCTAGATAAAACATTTCAAGTTTCAGATTGGGATAAGCGTCCCCTTTCTACAAATCAAATTCAATATGCTGGTTTGAATGTTTAATGTATTTATTATTTGGTTGAAAAGTAATAGTAGTGAAAATATGTAGGATGTAGTTGAAAACTTTTTTTTTTCTTATTTAGCTTTAGATGCTTTCTGTTTATTGGAAGTTTATAAAGTTTTAAATAAAATTGTTTTTGAAACACAAATAAAAGTTAACATGCTTGAAAATGTGAAGTTGAAATGGTTAAAGCCAACAAATGTACCAATGTAAGTTTTCTCATAAATAATATTCCTCTTTCTATATTACAAATAAATAAATGAATTTTTTTTTGTTTTATATTAAAGTTTAAAGTATATATTGAAGATTAAAAAATAAAATGCATTCAAAATAATATACACCTGAAGTTGTTTGTTAGTTTTTTTATGGAAATTGTATCAATAATTTAGACAAAAAAAAAAAAAAAAAAAAAAAAAGATTTAGAATCAATTGTTATCTTTACTTTGACTCTTTAGTCTTTAAAATTTAATCTTTTATCTTTAAAATTTTTAGGATTGTCTGAACTTATAGGGAAAATATTTTAGAAAATTGTTTCCTTATGAATTGTTGCAGCCAAGAAATATTAGGACTCTTAGTCCTAATATTTCTTTGGGGGAGGGGGTGGAGGGGTGGGTGGACCTTCAATCATTGAGGACCTTCAATCATTGTGCAGTCTGTTATATGTTATTTTGTTATTTTTTTAGTCAGCGTAAAGATAAGTATGAAAAACGTAATGAGCTGCAAAAAAAAAATGTAAGTATAAAAGTATTTTAAGTTTTTTTTTATTTTTTTTTTTTTTTTTTTTGCAAGTTTAGGTTATATAATTTCTTTAGTACTTTTCTAATATAAAGTATTATGTTCATTATTTTATTATACATACTTAAAATACATACATACATAAAATACATATATACATGCATACATACATACATACATACATACATACATACATACATACATACATACATACATACATACATACATACATACATACACACATACATTGAGAATAGAGGAATTTTGTTTTGATGTTGACAATTTCATAGTTTTTTTTTTATTTCTTTTTTATTCATTTAATAAACAATTGCTTTTTTAAAAAATAATTTTATATTTTACATTTTTTGAATTTTAGGTTGAAAGCTTCACATTGTCTGATTATTTTCCACCTAATCTGATTTTTATTATCGTCTTTTAATTTCCAAATTTCTTTTGATAGTTCTATATCATTTTTATATTTAGGAATAATGAATAATTATAAATAGTTGACATATCTCAGTTTGAAAGGTGTTTTACTACCAATGTATTATTTTTTGATTGAATTATTGTCAGAGTTATCTGAATTGACAGTTACTTGTTATGCAATGTTGTTGCATATCATTGCTTGGTATGCAACAGCATTGCATTGGTTTAGAGTACTTTATTATACATAATGCTTTATTATACATAGGGACAAATTTCTTAAATATCACGTAGTTGTTATTATACATTAGCACTCTGCTAATTGTTATTATGTCACTCTTTTGATATAAACTCAAAGTTTTTATAATTTATTGCTTTTTTTTCTTAATATTATTATTATTATTTTTATTAACTATATAAAGTTTGTATTTTTGGTGCTTACTTAAGATAATTACTATTATAATAGAATTACTATTTTTAAATAGCCTTGAAAATATTTTTTCAGAATAAAAAAAAGTTGAATACTTTTTAAAATTAGACCATTTTTTATAATTAGATCATTTTTTATAGTTAGACCATTTTTTATAGTTGGACCATTTTTTATAGTTGGACCATTTTTTTAGTTAATCACTTGTTTGAAGTTGTACCATTTTTTATAGTCCAAATGAGTTTTTGTAAATTATCCCTATAATAACTCACTAATACCATCATTGCCACAAAATATGTACCAGATACCATCAATACCACATAATATGTACCAAATAAAATTACTACAAAATTCAGTATATAATGGCTAATACAGTGGTTATAATTATTTATAATTTAAAAGTTGCAATGTAAGTTTATAAGGTCAAATGAAAGGTGAATGCTTGAAATGAAAGATGGATGCTTGAAATGAAAGATGGATGCTTGTAGGAATATAAATTCAATCCTGTTAACATTTATATGTTCCTATGAAGTATTGAGCTAGCTGCTCAGTATCTCTTACAGTTTAAACATGCTAGATCTTTAGTGTGGTTTTACATTTTTGATGAGGTGTTATATCTTGAGTTTTATGTTAAATTGCAGGTGTGGTGTTACATGGTGGGTGTTGTTTTACATCTTGGCTGCTGTGTTATATAGTTGTTGTATTTTTAAAACATTGTGTTGAAAAAACAAATTATTATAATACTATTACATTTTTTTAATTAAATATAACATCTATTTATTAAATATAAACATAAATATAACAATATTCCTTTAAGTACCACTGTCGCTGAAAAACATCGTGGTGTAGTATTTACCTCTGACTTGAAATTGAAAAATTAAATAAATCTATATGCAAGTAAAGCAAATAAAGTTTTGGGTATGTTGAGGAATACATTTTTAAGTTTAAATAGTAAAATTGCTAAAAATTATATACACAACTTTTGTAAGACTGAATTGAATTCGCTGTATCTGTGTGGTCTTGATGTCTTAAAAATAAAACAAATCTCTTAGAAAAGCTACAGCCATAATGCTACAAGAATAATATCGACACTAAAAAAACTATGTTATGAGAAAAGTTTAGATAAAATGGGTCTCACTATTTTAATTGTAAAACGGATTCAGACTTGATTCAAATGTAAAAGTTGTTTAATGGAATTGAAAAAATTTAATTAATGAAATTTTGTCAAGAAGTTATCAATCAGCTAGAGTCATCAAATAAAATGTAATCGTGAAATAACTAGTTTTTTGACTTGGCATTAATTTTTAACAAACATCTTTTTAATAGAATCGACTACCTACTGATGTTGTTAATGCTATTTCTGTGAACTCTTTTAAAGCTAAACTTAATATATGGATTTTAAATATTGTAAGTATGCTGAATAATGATATAGCTGTCTAAGTGTACTTGGTAAACTCACTCAATTATCGGTCACAGCTCAAATATATTACTATAATTATCTGATTTAAATGTGTATCAATTTTGAGGTAGTAAAGTAAAAGAGTCCTAAGTAGGTTTTATTTTGTGCTAGTATGTGAAAGCAAATATAACTATAGTTCCTAAAATAAATATAAAAAATCGAAACGGAAATAATATTATAACTGTTCTATTTTCCTAGGATTAGAGTATTTATACATTTGTAGATGAACAGTTACTCTAGTTGACATTGGGTACTTTAGGTGACATTGGTTACTCTATGTGACATTGGTTACTCTGAATAAAGCTATGTTAGTTGTAGCTTTAAGTTAGCAAATTTAATATTTTGTAGATGTTAAACGAGTTTAAAGTTAAATAGTACAATATATATATATTACTTTTATTTTATTGTTTAGTATTGTTTAACATAATATTAAGTTAACTATCTAGAAATGTTAAAAAAATATCATTTTTAAAAATTAAACTTTAACTAAATTTTTGTTTCATAGTTTCAAAAGAAACCACAAGCAACGATCCCTCCTCCAATTATAAAAAGAATACCCCGACTAGTCCCTCGGCCTGCTTCTGCTTTAAAAGTAATATGTGACACAATGCTGGATGAGTTAGGCAAGGAGCTGAGAAAATTTGGTGTAGATACATTGATAGCAACTTCCCATGACAATTCCAAATTAATACAGGTTGTTATTAGTGTGAAGTTTTATTACTATTAAGCTGACTTTTCATGATTTTTTATTATTTATAAAATGTTTTAAGCTTTTAGTATTTGATTTCTTGTAAACTCTTTGATATTTACTTTTCTGTGTAAATTTTATTTTTAACAAAACTTCACGTATAATATGGTATCTAATAACTCATAGTTAAAATTTTCAGGCTGCTCGTAAAGACAACAGAATGATTCTTACTTGTGGTGACGCCTATTTACTGGTAAGATTCGCTCAATTTTCAAAACTCATTTTTTATTTTCTTTGATTTTATTGTTTTGTGTTGTCTTCTTGCAAACTATTATTGTTATTTTTTAATTGTGGTAAAAAAGATTCTGTGTATGGTTTTTCGTTTTCTATTTGCACAAAATTATCTTTATTTTTAGATGAAATAACATTAGAGAATATTTTTTTCCACTTTGATTGGATAAAAGTTTTCTGTTTTTGCTCTGTATCTTGGAATGCGTATCCTTCAAAAAACTCGTCTGAAAGAATTAGATCTTTTTTATGATCTTGTAACTCTTGGGAATGCATTTCATAAAGTTGGTGTTTTGCTTGTAGAATTGGTTGCGGATGGTGTATCTCTTGACAATCAGATGGATATGCTTCTTTTAATAATTGTTTTTTATTTTTTTTATTTAGACATATATTTCTTTGCATTAGGTTTTCATTTAATTGATTCTTGTAATGGTTTTCAGATGGAGAACTCTGTATAATATTATCTCTTTGGTTTTCTTCACTAATTTTTAACACTTTTGTGTTTTTAGATACTCTAGATTTTTTCATAAGTTCTTTGTTATTTATTTTGCTATTCTGGTCAATAGGTTCTTGTATTTCGATAAGATCTTTAATCATTAATCCGAGTCCAGCAATTTCTATTCTTGTTTGCATCATAGACTTATAGAATTCTTCTTTAAGTTCATATACCATCTTTTGTAGTGATTTTATCTCGTTTATTTCTGCAGATGCGTCATTGTCAACTGATGTTTGGTTGTTGTCTTTTATTATGTTCTGAATTTTTTTTTCCCTGCTTTCAATTGCATCACTTAGTTTATCAAGCTTTTCATCAATTTCTTGTGTTTTGTTTGTGAGCTCATTATTAGATGAATTAACTTCGCTATCGTCATAATATAAAATTTTAGGTGCGCAGTGAGAATTGATCCATTCATAATGTCGAAGTTGCATTTTGTGGGAAAAGTGTAATTCCTTGTTAACAATGTAAGCTGCTTTCTGCATCAATGCATTTGCTACAGCATTGTCGTACACTCTTTGAAATGTGTTTGACATCAAAGCAATAAAAAGGTTCAAGCAAACTAGCCCTGCGGAAAAGAGATAAGTAGAACAAAGAATTTGGGCCATCACTTTATCTTTTTCTACAAGCTTATCGAAATTCCAATCTGCTATTATAGCCATTTGAAAAATGTTCCAGAAAAGTTCTAAACCGTTCATAGTGTAACCTTCAGTTCCAACAATACCAAAATTAATCCAAAAAGAAGCAATGTATGGGATAAATATATGAGCTCCTAGAAATAGTATCTTAAGAGTGTCTCTCACTACATACCCTATCATGACGACAAAAAGACCTAATGTTTGAAATGGTCGAGCATATTTAAGAAGGCGTAGCCACATGCATATCATTGTGGTTGATGCTGTTGCTTTGAATATCTCGTTAGTAAGTTTGCTATGATACATAATGTCACATATGTTTATAATTACTACAGATCCCATTAAAAGTAAAGTAAAACTGTCAAATATTCTCCAGTAATCTTTCAAATATACAAGTCTATAATTTTTTAACTCTTCGATTTCTCGCTCTAAGTAAGCTCGTTCATCAGGCCATCTATCATGACAATACTCTAAATCTTTGCAAATTTCATGGTTTCGCCATTGTTTATAACGTTTTGTTCTTTCTCTGGATTTAACAAAGTCTATTATTTCCGTTACAATATTTATTATCAGTATGATAATCACCATGCTTTCAAGTGCAGGACCCCAGTATTTTCGACTTCCTTCATATATTTTTCTATTATCTGTCGGTTTTGTGCAAATCAATGTTGTCCACATGATACAATTTACAAAGTTTATTGCAATAACTTTTAAAGCACTTAGTTTTGATGTTTCATTCCATTTTGTCTTGATTAATTCCATCATAACTGGATGCAAAACCAGATTGTACTGATTGGTTTCAACTGCTACTTCCAGTGGTGATTTTGCAAAGCAATTACTGTCTTTAATTGGTGGAACAAGACAGTTTATGTAAAAATACTCTTTGCGTGTCGCGCGATTAATGTTACGGAACTGATCAAGAGCAACCAGAGCCTATAAGTAAAGTTAAGTAGCAAAAATTATTCAACATGTTCTGAAAATTTAAATAAGCAACAAATTTAACTATTACTATTAACGTACTACTGATGGCATTTTTTGAATGAGCAATACCATTGCAGTCATCATACTGCTGTCGTAAACACTAGCATCAGCTCCATTATCAATTAACAATTTTGCAGTTACTGAGCGATCTAGCTCTGCCGCTATCTATATATAAAAAAATTCATTAGGTAGTGTTAAATTGATTCGTAATTACTATCACTTTGTGAACGTATGTATAAGGACTGATGTTCTTAAAAGTTATTTCCTACTTAAATGAACTATCAAATGTGTAGTTTTTTAAAATGTTATATTTTTGTTCTAAAACGTCGTCTGTCAAACCGATGGTCTAGTTAACCTTTAATAAAACGTTGGGTTACCTGTAAAGGAGTTCTTTGCTTGTAATCCTTGTCTTCTATATTAGCACCATGCTGTAGTAGGACTTTTAATGATTCTACTGCGCCATTTTTTGCTGCATAATAAATAGCTGTTTGTTGTTCGCCATATGTTTTGCTATTAAGGTCTGCTCCATTTTCAATTAAAAATGAAACCATTTCTGGAAAATCAACAGCACTTGCTACATGCAGAGGAGTTCTCCCAAAATTATCAGGTTTATCAATCGCTGCACCTTTCATTGAAAAAATATATTAATCATCTTATACTATAATAAACATTAAATTGATTAGTAATAGGTTATTTATTATAAGTTTATTTGAGGGTTTTTATTAAAAGAATTTTTATATTTACCATGAGTTAGTAGAAATTTTGCCACGTCAGTGTGCCATATTCTAGCCACCTCGTGCATGGCACTTTGTCCATGTTTATCAGTAGCATTAATGTCTACTCCTGAATGAAGCAGTTGACTTAAATGCTTAAAGTCGACTAATTTCTCTTTGTCGTTTTTTTTTGCCAAATTACAAAAGTATTTGATTAAAGAATTATTCTTAATAATATCCCCGATACTCTTTTTGCTAGATTGGCTTTTGTTCGTGTCGTCTAGATCGTTTAATAAACACAAGTGATGAACTCCACGACGTATATCAATTGTAGATAGCTCTTTATTTGTCCACCTGTTGGTAAAATCGTATTTTTTAACTAAATTTGTTGTAATTCGAATAGTGTTGGTTAGAACGCTCCATTTTTCTTTAGCGTGTGACGTTGTTTCTTCTGTTTGGTGATTCAACTTAGTTAATGGCTGGACTATGTTTGTATTTTTTGAACGAAGTTTAAAATTTCTCCTTTTTTTCTCTCTCTCTCTTTCCATTTCATTTTTTTTTTTTTTTTTTAATAAAAAGTAAAAAAGTATATTTTTAAATCCTATGGTTCATTGTTAAAATATCACGATTCATTTTTAAAATATTAGAATCGTCGATGAAATGTTAATAATTTAACCATGGTTACTGCTGCCGTTTTTATAAATTGCTCTCCGTCACATAGATCATTTAAAAAATGTCATAGCCTTAGAACTTTTACTATAACTTTTAACTATTTTTTTTATTGTTTTTTAAGTTATTGTTTGTTAAGCTAATAAAAAAATCAAGTTTAGAATAATAATTAAAAATGATAAAAGAAGATTTTATAAAAATAAAAATAAATATGTTCTAAAAGGTTATTCTCAAAAATGTGCGTATGTTTTAAGTTATTTTAGATTGATTTAGCTTTTAAAAATAGTATTGGATAAAATTAAAAATTTTTTAAAATATATATACTTTTTTTTTTATAATTCTTTAAAATAGATTTATTTTTATTGTATTTAATTTGTATAAATACCTAAATACATATATTTAATATTCTGAATATATATATATATATATATATATATATATATATATATATATATATATATATATATATATATATATATATACAACCATATAATATATGTATATATAACCGTATAATGTGTGTGCGAATATAGATCAAAGATCACGTTCCAGAAGGAAACTGTCTATTGGTTGAAAAGGGCAGTTTAAAAGAACAAGTTAAAATGGTTTTTAATACGTTTAACATAGTGCTGAAATCGGTTGATATTTTTTCCAGATGTCCGGTATGTGTTTTGTTTTTATATATATATATATATATATATATATATATATATATATATATATATATATATATATATATATATATATATATATATATATATATATATATATATATATATATATATATATATATATATATATATATATATATATAATAGATGTGTAACTCCAATGACTTAGCGATTGTCACATCTAACGAAATGAATAAAGCGTTCAAGTTAAAAAATGACATCTTGGATTTAAAAACTCTGAAAATCGTCGAAGAATCTCATCTTATAAATTTGACTAATTTTACTCTATCCAATAACATTGAAGTTCAAATGGATTTTTTGAGAGAATCGTGCATTTTATTTATGAAAGGAAGACATACCTATGAAGAATTTTTTCGGAGCATAAATTTTTTTAAAATTTGTCGCGGCTGCGGTGAGGTCTATTGGAAAAATATACATGACGATATTTTGAAAAGTGAGTATCATGATATTGTTGATAAAAGAGAAGTGGATAAAACTTATTATGGTAGACCTGGATAAACTACTGAATGTTATTAAGTAGCTGGATAAATTAAACATAAATAAAAAAACACTTTTTAAAAGAAAAAACAAAGTATAGGAAGTTGATATAAAGTAAACTCACGCCTTTGAGTCATAAAAAATATATTAGGAGAAATAAACCTCTCTTAATTATTTAAAATAAATTTAAAAAATCTTTACATAAATAAAGTGCGCCGTTTTTATATGGTAATGGAAATTAGTCTTTTTTGAGTTTTTACCGAAATAAAGGATAATAAGGCAAAACTCGTTGAATTAAGAATTATATATTTTATCATGTTTATATATGATAGTAGGTTAATATGTTTGTTTGTTTTTTAATTTGAACTAATTTGACATTTAGAAATTTGTACAAAAATGAGATTTTTAACTACTAGCCTAATTCATTTGACACACTCCGCACACATTTACGATGTAGGGAATAAAATAAAAATGGTAGCTTCTTAGATAAATAAATTATCAACAAGTATTCTACATCTTAATATTTATACTCTTGTGGCTAGATTTTCTAAAATGGTTAAATTGTATTGTGTTTCTACTTAATGCTTTAATAATTTTAAATCAAGTTTGAAATGGGTTTCAAATACTAAGGTTTACCGAGATCAAATACTAAGGTTTACCGAGATTTATAAAAAAACAATATGAATTGTTTATATCAAGAGAAAGAAAGAGTAAGAAAATACAAATAACTTGCCAGACATTATTACTTTAGTTGACCAATATTTAAAAAAATGCTAAAATTACGCACTAATTAAAAAAAAAACTTGAATCATGCAAAAACCTAAGTGCTGAAACAAGCATAAATCAGCAAAGATAAAATTATAGTTATAAAAACTATAAAAGGAACCTCAATATATACAAGTTCACAAATAAAACTTTCAAAATGTTAAATTGTTTTCATATCAAAAAAAATTACAATGGGTACAAACTATAAGTTTTTTATAAATTTTTCTTAGGAGCGGCGTACAGTGGGCCATAGTGTGCCAAAAGTCAAAATTATTTTTGTTCAATTTTTGTATAAAAAACTACTATTCAATGAACGTAACATATTGATTTACATGAAAACATAAGGATTGTTGATCAAAGAATGCGCCTTTACCAAAATTTTTTAATTTTAAGTTGTCACCCTGAACAATATTTTTGACGGTCAAGCGCTTTTCTAAAAAAGTTTAAAAAAATATTTTTTAATATGTTTTGCCATTTAATGTTAGGCAATTTATATTACTACGAGGTTGAATTGTAGTTTTAATACATATATTGGCTATCAATTGGCATTTCTGTTTATCGTCTTGAACGTATTTGACTCATTTTATGATCAATCAAAGAAAGTGTGTTTAATAGTTGAAATAATTGCGTTTATTTTTTGCTAATGCTATGCTTATAATTTTTCGGCCATATTTGGCCAGGGTCTTTATAGCTGATATTTACTGAAAAAAATATATTTAACGAGTTAAAAACAGTTTTAATTGCAGATACTTGCAGATGTAGAATATGTAACTAAAACATTACACATGATTTTATACCGTGACATCTGTCAATAAAACATTTTTTTTATGTTACTCTATATTATATATATTTATATATAATATAGAGTAACTATAATATATTTATATGCGCAATTGCTCACTTTTTTTGCTAGTCTAAATTAAGTGAGCGTTTTGAGAAAACAATGAGGGAAAACGAAGAATAATGAATGAAAAGGTTGCTGACCCATACCAAACCCTCAGTCGATGTAACAGCACTCCACTGCGAGCCAGGCTATTTGTCAGTCGAAGTATGTACTGAAGCCCCCGCAGCAGGCCATTTCAGTATGATGTCATCATGCTCACCTAACTCAGCAGTATAAGATATATTAATTATACAAAAACCCTATATAACTATATTTAACATATATTATATTAAATTATGCAATATATATATTTATATATATATATATATATATATATATATATATATATATATATATATATATATATATATATATATATATATATATATAAATTTTATATATATATATATATATATGTATATATAAATAGGTTGACTTTTCTATTTTTAGAATAAATAATAATATAACAATGAAGTACCATTATATATACAATTGCATTAGATCCAATAATATGTTTATACAAGATCCCACAATTTATGATCAATAAGATATCAAGTTAGACTTGGATGATTCTGAAATTATAAGAAACAAATTAATTGCATTCTTAAAGAACTTGAAGACTCGTTGGAATGATGTTAGCCGCAAAGCTGCAGCTTTTGAGAAAAAGTATGCAAATTGGTTGGATACTGACTTTATATCTTCTGCATATGTTCCACCTGCTACTCCAACAATTGTTACCACTCCTCTTGGAAGGCCTACTTTGAATTTTGATGAGTCTTCTTTGAGATCTAAGTATAGAAAAGTTGCTGAAATGGAATGAATACTCTGCTAGCCAACTATTATTTGCAACTAAAGTCAAATTCGGAAAAGATAATCAGCCTAAAAAAGCTAAATTAGCAGAAAAATTGTTAGTGGATACTATATTCCCATCTTATATGTCTTAATTTTTAGTGGATACTATATTCCCATCTTATATGAAGCTTTGGCCCTTATTTTAGATTGTAATTTAACAAAAGCATCTTATTAACTGATGAAAAACAAAGCTGATGAAAAGGAATGCAATCTCTACCCAGCATATAATAATGTTAGAAAAGCAAAAGATCGATGCTATCCTAAAAATATATGTGTAACTGATTATACTGCTAGTGTTCCACTTCAAGATCTACTGGATCACACTACAACAAGACTTTTGGAGACACAGACTGGTGTTGTAAATGCAAATTAGTATAATAGAGTAACTCTAATATACAAAGCTGGTTTTGATGGCTCAAGTGGGCATAGTATTTATAAACAAACATGTAATGATAATGAGTGTACAAGGAATCTGAAGAGTGAAGAATCTCTGTTTATTACATGCTTTGTACTTTTAGAACTCTCATCTATTCTTAATGATAAAAAGATTATTCTTTGGAGAAACTCTAAACCATCATCTACTTTGTACTGTCGGCCTTTGCGATTTAAATTTGTAGAGGAAACTGCAGACCTTCTTTGTAGTGAGGAATTTACATTAAAAAATAAGATCAAACTGCTAACTAAAACAAGCTATATCCTACTTAATGGTAAGCCTATTGATGTTGACCATAAAATTGAAATCACTATGATTGATGGCAAAGCCCATACTGCATTATCTGATGTAACTGACTTATCACAGTGTTGCTCTCTTTGTGGTGTTAGTCCTAAATGAATGATATTGACAAGGTATGTAGAAAATATTGTATATATAAACTAGTAGAAAGTCACTCAACAAATTTTTTTTATTTAACACTTTTTTATCAATAAAGACTCATCAGAAATGCATCATTTCTGATGAGTCTTTATTGATGAAACACAGTGTTAAATAAAAAATTTTTGTAAAGCGATTTTCTAATTTAATTTATCATTGCTCTGTTCTTTTAAGAACATTATTACATTTTAAAATTTGTTCATATATATATATATATATATATATATATATATATATATATATATATATATATATATATATATATATATATATATATATATATATATATATATATATATATATATATATATATATATATGTATGTATATATATATACACATGTATATATATATATACATATATCTATATATATATATATATACATATATATATATACATATATATATATATATATATACATATATATATATATATATATATATATATATATATATATATATATATATATATATATATATATATATATATATATATATATATATATATATATATATATATGTATGCAACTGTTTTCTGAAATCACAGGACTCAATTTTGAACTTATAAAAATGTTCCATGTTGTTCTGACTTGTATTTCATGTGGTTGTGAGCTTGATGCAATTTTAATCAGGGAATACTGTACACATACAACTAGATTTTACGTGGAGTGCTATCCATGGTATTATATGCCGCAGAGCATTCACAAAATGCTAATTCATGCTCCCAGTGTTGTTAATTACATGACATTACCAATTGGGCTCTTAAGTGAAGAAGCTATAGAGGCTCGGAATAAAGATTTTAAAGTGTGACCGTATCAAATGTAATGAAGATTTATTTAAGCGATTATTTTGTTCTAGTGATCCAGTCATTTCTTCACTAAGAACAATAGTTAGTACTAAGAAGACGGTTTTTTCCAGAAGGTGTTTTGCAACTGTTAAAAAACAGTGTTTAGTTGTTCTTATTATGGAATTTTACAGGCTAATTTTTGGTTTCTTGCTTTAGTTATTATTAAAATTTAAATTTATGCATTGTAAATTAAAATTGTTAGTATTCTATAATTAACATAAATTAAAAATTTCCCACATACATTTATTTGGAACACCAGAGCATTAAAAATCCTTTTTTTTTTAATAATTTGCAGTAAATAAGTCAAGAATTTGTATAAAATTGACTGTCACTATAAAAATATATAAGATGTTGCTATGCATAATAAGGTATCCATAGCAACCAAACTAAATATCATAATATAAAACGCATGCCTCGTATTGGTACTCTTACCAAATTTAGTATGCATGACACACAAAAATAACTACAAGTAGGTTTATGCTAGGCCAAAATAAGTATCCATAGCAACCAAATAAAAAAAAAACACCTTTATAACAAGCGCAGACTTTACACTGGTGCTCATGCCAAATTTAGTGTATATAGCACACATAACAAATCTGCAACTACAAAAAGTAAGTTGTTGCTATGCAAAAAATAGGTATCCATAGCAACTAAATAAAAAACAACACCTTCATAAGAAGCTCTAACCTTATATGGGTACTCATGCCAAATTAGTGAATGTAGTACTAATATTAAATTAGTTATTAATTTTGTCTCAAAATTGGCCATTCTGCCCCACTGTGCGGCGATCGACAACGATTAATTAATCGTTTAACGATGAGTCGATTAATCGTGTTTGATGTATCGAACACAGTTAAGCAAAATATATATATATATATATATATATATATATATATATATATATATATATATATATATATATATATATATATATATATATATATATATATATATATATATATACACCTGAACGATTAACAATGTATTATATAAAAAATAATATATAAAATGGTATAAAATTACTTTCATTAGTTGTTATTCGGTTTACGATTATGTTACTTACGATGCATGTACATTTCAAATGAGAAAAAGTAAATAAATTGTCTAATGCACTGATGATCGTTAAATTAAAAAGATAGTTTAATGTATTATTTATCATAAATTGTTAAATTAAATAGATCGTTCAAGGGGG